AAAATTATGGCACTTGCAGGTAAATGAATGGAACTAGAGAATATCATGCTAAGCGAAATAAGCCAGTCCCCCAAAACCAAAAGCTGAATGGTTTCTCTAATAAGTGGATGCTGATCTACAATGGGTGGGGGGTAGGGAAGAATGAAGGAACTTTGGTTTGTGCAAAGGGGAGGACGGTAGAATGAGACAGACAGTATTACCCCATATATATGTATGATCATACCACTGGAGTGACTCTGCACCATGTGGAGTCAGAGGAACGAGAAGTTGTGTACAGTGTGTCCAAATGCACTCTACTATAAAAATAAACAAACAAACAAAAAAAACTTATGGCGATCTCCCATTTATGCTAGTGTGCTTGTTGTAATCATGTCACTCCATTCAATTTCCTGTAAATCCATGAAATTGGAATACAAAAACACTTGCTGTTTCCATGAAAACAGCGGGGCGCTTTGGACAGCCGGCTGAAGGCAGGTACCTGGGAAGTGCTGGCGATTCCCACAGCTACAAGTCCTGGATCACAGACACACAGCACAATGCTGCAGGGTGCTCCCCTGGAGCTCTTCAGTCTCACTCCACTTTACAGTCCCAAGACTGAGAATGCACCTGACATCTCGGTGTGTGGGTTGTGCGTGCAAGTGCTGTGGCATTCAGATGGGGGATTCAGCTTGAAATAAAAGGGTTTGCTTCATATTTTAAAAAAGGCTGTTGGGTCATGCGGCCTTCAAGGGAGGAAACAAATCACTCCAGGTATCTCAAATAGAAAGGAATTTTTAAAAATATGGTGTTGGGTGTGGTGGCCATGCCTGTAGTCCCAGCAGCTCAGGAGGCTGAGGCAGGAAGATCTTGAGTTCAAAGCCAAAAGAGAGGTGATTAGCAATTCAGTGAGACTTTCTCTCTAAATAAAATACAAAATAGGGCTGGGATGTGGCTCAGTGGTGGAGTGCCCCTGGTTTCAATCCCTGGTACACCCCCCCCCCAAAAATAAGTAGAAAATATGATGCTAGGGATCAAACTCCAGGCCTTGTGGCACATGCCGAGCACATGCCTTGTCATGCAGCCACACCCCCAGCCCCGAGGAGTTTCACACAGGTCGGGTCCTAAGTGTGAAGACCCCCATGGTGGCTGCGATCCCCTGGCTGTCAGGGGACTGCTCCTGACCCCTGTGACCTGTTCCACATGATGAAACTATGCCCAGTCCCTGCCAGCCCACCTGCCTGAACCCTCTGTCCTCTGCTTAATTGGTGAAAGCTAATTTCCATCAAGCCCTAGCTATAAAAGAGACTGGGAAATCTAGGTCTTTTTAGTTTTCCAACCTCCCTGGAGAGAAAATGGGTGAAATGAAAGTTGAAAGATCCTCTAGTTACAAATGGCAAATGAATTAATATTCTTTTATGTATTTAAATAAAAATGGCTTAAAGTAGCAGACTCTCTAGTAATAGCAGTGTTTTATTCTTAGCTTTAACCAACATTTTGTTATTAATGATCAGGTCCAAATGCACCAGTGATAAGGCCTTACTTGCCAAGTGTGCAAGAATCTGGGCTGATAACTGGGTGAGCCATGGGGAAGGGCACAGTGAGGGGAGGGAGGATTTCACTGGGAGGCTGGTGGGAGAGCTTGAACTGTTGCTCAGTAAGAAGCCAGTCAAAGCCATGCTGTCTTCCCCTTGCCACTGGTGAAGGACTCTTTTGGAACGGATGCCTGGGGCACCCTGTCTCCAGAGTGTCCCTTGCCTGGTTCCTTCTGCCAACTGTGTTTGTCTCACAGACACAGAAAGTACCTACTGTGCATCATGCTGGGAGCTGAAGCCCCACTGTGAAGCTCAAGGTCTCATATCCCTTACTTCTAGAACAGGGCTCAGCACAAATCCGGGGCTAAATAAATATCCGCCAAATGAACAAATGGATGAGTGTACCTAACTGATAGAAAACCAAGTCTCAGAGAGTCACAGACCTCCCTGAAACGGCTCCCCTGGGCTGAGGGCAGCCGAGGCCCCGCCCCCGCCAGACCTCCCCACACCCTCTGCTAGGGAAGGGTTCTGTGGGCTGGTCAGTTGTGCCTGGGGCAGTGTTTCAGGTACAGGACATCCTTGCCTGGCACGACTGTAAGAGCAGACATGCAAACCCGAGCCTCGTAAGCAGTCCTAAAAATTACTGGGTGATGGCAGCTTGCAAAATTGTGAAAATACTCAGACCTACTGAATTCACACTTTAAAATGGATAGTGAGTTTCATGTTATGTGAGTTTTGTCTCCATAAACATTGGATCTTGGCCTCACTTTTTTTTTTTTTTTGTACCAGGGACTGAACTCAGGGACACTCAGTCACTGAGCCACACCCCAGCCCTATTTTGTATTTTATTTAGAGAGGGGTCTCACTGAGTTGCTTAGCGCCTCACGGTTGCTGAGGCTGGCTTTGAAGTTGAGATCCTCCTGCCCCAGCCTCCTGAGCCTCTGGGATTACAGGCTGAGCCACTGCGACTGACTTCACATTGGTTTTTTACTTAGGGCTGGGGTTGTATTACAGTGTAGAGTACTTGCCTAGCATGTGCCAGGCCCTGGGTTCCAACTTCAGTACACAAACAAAAAAAAAATTGTTGTTATAAATGAACAGATGGGGAGAAAAATAATTAGTGGGAACATTACAATTGCTCTATATGACTTTCAAACATCAAAACTACAATTGGGTACAAATGTATAGAGAAAAAATAATAAAATGCATATTTAGTGCATTTGGAACATTTAGGAATTTGAAAATTTTTTATGTCTTTGGACTAACCCTATCAGAGGAGCTCACTGTGGAGTTGATGATCAGGTCCAAATGCACCAGTGATAAGGCCTTACCAGAATTTACCAGGTATTAGTTGGACCCATGCAAGGAGGTTCCTAGGCCCCAGATCCAGGCGTTCCATACTTTTACAGAGGCGTGGGTGTATTGAATACTGCAGATCTGTAGACTTGGAAGTGGTTAAGGTGGAAACTTTTATCCTGTGTGTCTTACCGCAGGTGTTTTTTTTTTTTTTTTTTTTAATATAAATGACTTAGGAGTAGCTGGAAGGGCGTTGGCCAAGGCCGCCCCTCCCTGCCTCCCCGGAGCATTGAGCGCTCCTTCCTTCCTAAGTCCATCCGTCTGCTTCCCACGGCGACCCTTGGCACCTGCAGTGTGGTGGGAGGTCCCGAGCGCCTTTCCTGTGCAGTGTGTGGCTGGCGTCACCTTCATGAGCTCCTGCCTCAGCCGTGTCACGGCCGCCGTCACCTGGCCTCTGGCCGCACATGGCCTCGCGGGGTCGGTGGAGGCCGCTCCACGTTCTCTCCCGGCTGTTCCCTCCAAGCGCTCCGCTCTCCGGGGTTGGAACTGGCTTCCAGCAGCGTCGTCTTCCGGTTCCTGCCTGCGCTTTTCGCCCAGGACAGGTCCTTGTCCTGTCTGGGGGTCGGATAGAACCCTGAAAGTGGCTCCTGTGATGTGGCAGCCCGTGGATTCGTCAGAAATTAGGCTGTTGTTTAAAAGAAAGAGCACTGTGCGGGCACTCCCACGTTGTTGGGCGGAGAATCCTGCCTGTCTCCCAGTGCCACCGGTAATCACACTGTCATCCCCACACACCAGCCTGTTCCCAAGGCTTTACCCAACATTCACAATGAAATGAGATAAGTTATTATCTCCGCAGTTTGAGGATGGGGGCGGGGCAGTTTGGAGGGAGTTTGCTAAAGGAGACTTGCAGAAGGTCTGGGACAGCAAGGCTGGAAAGGAGGAGTTCAAACTCAGACTGTCCCTGGTGCCTTTGAGCCACAGAAACAAGGGCTGGGTTGTGCCCCTTTGTTTTCCCAGTGCCCAATAGGAAACCAAACATGGGAGATCCTTCAGCGCTCTGTTCCCGTGTCCCAAATGCATACCAGAGGCTGCTCATCAAGCTGCAGCTTCCAGGGCAGGCGCTCAGGTCCTGCTGTCACTGAGCCTCTAGGGTGGCCAGGAAGGGAGGGGCTGCCTACTTTCAGCGGGCCGCTCTGCCATCTACTGGCTGATCTGTGTAACTGCAGGGCCTGATCCTTGATGCTCCTGGGACCCTGGTCCTCTAAGTCTTGCTTCAACCTGCCAGAACACACGTCCTTGTCCAGAGTATCCAAACTGTATATGCCATCGGCCCTTTAGTCACTTAGTAGCCTTCTAGGTGATCAGATCCACTGTTATGGTGTTGCAGAGCTTGTATCAAGCAACACTTATTTTATATAGTAATTGCCCCCAAACTCAAGAGTAGGGATGCTGGCAATTTAGATGTGCCAAAGAGAATCCAAGAAGTGAAAGGTGAAAGGAAATAAAAAATTGTATGCTGAAGTTGCAGAGATCTATGGTATATTACAATTTCTTACTGTGCCTAGTTTATAGATTCAACTTAATCATAGGTATATATAGAGAGGAAAAACTTAATGTATGTGGTTTGGTTCCACCTGCACTTTCAGGCATCCGTTGGGGGTCTTCTTACAATATATCTCCTGTGGATAAGGAAGGGGCCACTGTAATGCCACAAGACCTTTCATCCAGGACTGCCAAAGAGGCAGCAGAGACAATCTCCTGCATTCTCCTCATGAGCTAGATACAGAGAACTATGTTGCTGGCCTGGCATGGTCAGATTTGTCCAAAAATCTGCTCAGAAGTTTAAACATATGAGTGTACACTTTGAAGAAAGAATTCCTACTTTACTTCAAAGGACATTCACATTTTATGTATTTTTAAAGTTACTTTTATTTTAAAAAATTCTTATTTTTTCCTTTTAGTTATACATGACAGTAGAATGTATTTTGACATATGATTTCCCATTATTGTGGTTGTACATGATGTGGAGTTACACTGGTTATATACTCATGTATTAACATAGGAAAATTATGTCCAATTCATTCTACTATTTTTTTTTCATTTTCTCCACTGTCTAATCTGGTGAACCTCCACTCCTCCCTCCCCACCTCCTATTGTGTGTTAGCATCAGCATGTCAGAGAGAATATTTGGGATTTTTTTTTTTTTTTTTTCAGGATTGGCTTATTTCACTTAGCATGATAGTCTCCAGTTGCATCCATTTAAAAACCCTTCTGGGTTGTGTCCTGCTCAGGGAAATAGCAGAGGCTTCCCAGGGCTGTCTGGGCAGGAGGCCCAAGACCACCTGGCAGTTGCAGAGCAGATGAATAGTTCCTAAGATGCAAAGGGGGCTGCAGAGCCAGCAAAGGGGAAGCTGCAGGTGGAGCAGGACTTGAGGGACTGAGGTGGCTCTACAGATGCCAGTGTTGGTGGGTAGGCTCCCAGGGGACTGATTCCCCACCTCCCACAATTTGACAGCCACAGCCACTAGAAATGAAGAGGGGACCTGGATAGACTGGAACTGAGCTTCTGTCCCTCTGAACTAGATGCCTGAAGCAGAAATGAAGTGGAGGGACCTTTATGAAGAGGAAGAAAGGCTTCCAGTTGGACCTTACATCCACCAGATGCTACCTTCAGAGTACATCCAAAATGAGTGTCCCTTCTCTTCTTCACTGCTACCCGGGTGTCTGAGCCACCCCCACCTCTTCAACAGAAGATCTCGGTAGCCTTCTTGCCAGCCTCACAGCTCCTGGGGGGGCTTCCTAGAGTTCATTCTCAATAGCCAGAGAGTGCCTGTTAGCTGGCAGGGCAGGGCAGGGCAGCCAGGCTGAGAACCCTGCAGTGGTCTCTTGTTGCTGAGTCTCCCTGTGGCCACCTACTTCCTCTCCAACCATCTCCTACTACTCAAACCATGTTCATTCCACTGCAGGACGGCTCCTTTTACAGGATCCTCAGCACACTGTGCCCTCTGTCTGTAAGTCTCTTCCCTCACTTCCTTCAAAGTCACCTTAGGCCTTCTCTGCTCCTTTTGCAAATATCCTCCCACTTCTTGGACCATTCCTACCCGACTCCCTAGCTTTATTTTTTCTCCTGCAGCAGGAACTTCTGACAGTATGATGTGTGCTTTGCTGGGGATGGGACCTGTCGCATTGCACGACTAAACACTCAAGTCACTCCAGGTGAACTGGGCTGCACGAAATAACCAGAAACAGAAATATCTTTTTCTTTGGGTCCTGTGACGGCTCCTATGACCTTAAGGGTCCATGGAAAGAGAGGGAGAAGCACGTGCTGAACCCCTTTATTGGGAAAAAGCCAGTCAAATGAGGCAAGGGGTAGGAACAAGGGAACAGGTGAGTGTAGCTCAACCCCTCTGGGTGCTGTCGCCAGAGTCACAAGTCATGGCACTACTGTGCCAGACCACAGTGATTTTTCAGATCCCGTGGTGCAGCAGGAGTTAAAGGTGTGTGCATTTGGAGTGGCTCTCCACAGGAACCTAGGGTTTTGCCCATGCTAGTCAAACACTCTACCACTAAGCTATATCCCCAGCCCCATAGTATGGTTTTTGTTCCTTATCTCTAGACACTAGGAGTTAAATTCTATGAAGACAAAGATTTTTGCCTTTTTACAAGTGGACAGTCATTTCTCTTCAGGCCTTTGCATTTCTCATCTCCCTTCTTCCATTTATGGCTTCCTGGTTCCTCACCCTCTGCTTCTCCTCTTTTGCTGGCCCTGCCCTGAGACTCTCTTGTGTCCGGTGCAAGGAACTTAAGGGACCAGCAGCTCTGTGGCTGTAGGGAGGGGAGCCCAGGAGGCACAGGCAACATCTTCTAGGGTCACCATCTTGGGCAGGAAGCAGCGAGTAGGGATGTCATCAGGGTTTGGATGCCCACCCTCACCTCTCAAGGTTCAAGAGCTTCATGGACGGGTGGTTACGGTTTATGGGCCAAGGAGGGTTATAGCCCAGGCGGCGGAGTCTGTGGCTTCAGGCAAATCCTTCCAGGACCATGGCCTCACAGCCACTTCGGAGCCCTCAGGGCTGCTGTGGAAATAACAGGATGGTTAACCCAGGGAGTGCTGGCACAACGGGTGGCTCATGCCAGCCCAGGACACGGGGCTCTGCTCTGCTCAACAACCCGATTCTGGTCGGCCTTCTGAGCGTTTGGAGTGGGGTGTCCACTTCCGAGGCCGCCGTGCCCCACACGCAGCGGATCACTGCCTCCGAACATAAGCCTTACCCTTGTGCCACTGCAAGACGGGGAAAGAGGAACCTGACCCCAGTCATTGATGGGACCATACGAGGCACAAGAGCCCTCTTGGCAGGCAGCAGAACGTGTTTGCAGGGGACCGCGTTCCCGCACGGTCCCCAAGGTCTTCGCCGCTCCGCACCTGTGTTGGGGTAAAAGGCCCGGGACCTGGTCACGTGCTCCGTCGGACCAATCCCCGCAACCGGAAAGGGGAAGAGTAGTGATTGGCCCATCCGGCGCGGGGGCGGGACTCCGGTCAGAGGGGAGGAAGCGGGTTCTCCCGGCCTGCGATTCCGTGGTCCTCGTGATTCTCGTTCTCTCGCGAGACTCGGCGCCGGGCGGGGCCTCTAAGCTCCACAATGCACCGGGCGGGGCGGGGCAGTCCCGTATTGGCGTGGCCCGGAGCACCGCGTGCGTCATTTTTCCGAGTCCGGTCTGGGAGCCGCTCGTCCCTCCCCGCCCCCGCACCCCAGACGCCGTCCCCTCGGCCGCCTGGGAAGCCCGCGGCTCTTTGCTCTGTGTCACCGCCTGGCTTGCGCTCCGAGCGCCCATTGTTTCGCTCCTGCCGGGCAGGGGATGTAAGCCGAGGCCCGCAGTGGGCTTCTGGGGGCTGCGACCCCCTTCAGTTACATGCCGCGTCTGGGCCGCCTATGTGCTTCCGTCACCCCGAGGCGCCGGGACCCTCCCAGGGCCTCTCGGTCCACCTGCGTGCCGTCAGCACAGGGCCAGCCCCAGGTGCCCATAAAACGGAGCGAACCTGGTGTTTCGTTCCCGGTGCCCTCTCGACCCGCCGGCTCCTGGGGGCGCGCCCTCCTCCCGGGATCGTGCGCCTCGCTCCGCCCCACAGTTTCCCGTCCTTTCTTTGATCAGACCTCGATTGAGCCTGTGAGGAGGGGGCGGAGGGCCAGACCTGGGGGTGGCGGTGAACCCGGCAGCTGGGCACCGTGTCCGCCAAGCTCAAGGTCTGGCAGGGGAGGAGCTGTGAGCCCCCGAGGGGCCTGCACCAGAGAATCTGAGGCTCAGGGAGGAGCAGCCAGTGGCCAGGTCAGGGCTCGAGGCAGGCTAGGGTTGGAAGGCTCATGAGTGAGATTGGGCCTGTCTCCCGAGGAAAGTGGAGAAGGCCTTGAGGCCAGGTTCCGGGTCCTTAAGGATGATAGACAGGACTGTGCAAGATTAGAAGGGTGTTTTTGGAAGATCCCTCTGGCTGCGGCGGTGGGTCACATGAGAAGGAGTGCAGACTGGAGGGAGCTGGGCAGACAGAGGTGGGAAAAGAAACAGCCTGAGCGAAGGGTGGGTGTAGAATTGTGAACATGTGCGGAGCCTTTCTGGCTTCAGTTCTCCCATCTGTACAGTGTGGGACTTGGAATCCTTCTTTAAATTCCTCCCACCTCTGATTCAAATTTAGCAACATTTCAGGCAGGTGAGAATTTACAGGCGGTAAAATGGGAAAGATAATGGGAAGGAAGACACATGAGAGCTTGAGAGAGGGAGGAGACAGACACCGTGGGGTCATTGGGAGAGGTTTTTGAGGGGAGAGCAGGACCCAGAGCCTCCAGGTCAAGATAACTATTCTGAGATTCAGACCCTGAGTGTTCTGCTGTGTGACCTTGTGCAGTTCACCCAGTTCTCTGTGTCTCAGATTCTGCCTCTGTAACATGGGTAGTAGTGATCCACATCAGTAGTAAGTGACATTCTTACTAGCACAATACTACTGACACTGGGTTTTAGGCGGTGTCATAGGGAACTGAACTCAGAAAACAACAACAACAACAACATGCATTTACTTAAATCTTCTTTGGGAAAATACACAGACTGGTAATATGGTTTGCCTCCAAAGAGTAGAACTGAAGGGTTTGGTGTATTTGTTGGGGTTTGGGGGACAGACAGAATTGGAATGAAATTTTTTTTTTACTGTTTTTTTTTTTTTAATTATAAGAAACATGGCAATTTAGAGATGTCGGGACTTCTTGTTTTTACACTTATGTATCTTATCAAATTTAGTAAGATTGGAAGGCAGATGGAGTATTAACAAGGACATGTTCTAGGTTCCTGGGCACCTGAGTTTTATTGAGAGTGTGATACCAAGACATACTGGGTTTTAGCTTCATATGTTTGGGACAAGGGAAGGTTTTATAGAGGGCAAAACAATATACTAGGACAGTGTGGGCCTGTGTCTGGACTCACTGATGAGCTGGTGTGAGTACATAACCCCTCAGAATCTCAGCAAGACCAATTCAGTAGTGAGGGATGTGATGAGAGAAGACAAGTGCGTGCACAGGGCCAGCCCAGCATGTTGCAGGGGCCCAGTGAAGGGGACTGCCATTCTTTCTCTGCTTTTGGCTTTGAAGAGCCTATCATGGTTATGCTGGAGATATGTGACCAACTGATGTTTACCTCTTTCATCTCAAAGTTTAATTTCATTCAGAGGTTTTTAGAACGTGTAAAACTGGGGAAACGTCACAAAGCTGAGAGTTCAGTTGACAGCAGTTAGACAGCAGAGTGGAGGATTTTTACAGGCATTCCACACGCTGCCGATGGGTGGCAGCCTCTTACCCCCTGGTGAGTTACCAAGTGCACCTCTGAAGCAGTGTGATTGCCTGAAAGGTGAGCAGGACCTGGTGGCTCAGGTGGTAAGACAAGGCACTGGGCACGATCTCCTAGAAAGGCAGTGCATGCTGTGCAGGGCATATAGACAGTGCCCTGGGATACGCATCTAGTTTTGTGCACACACTAACACACAGTATATGATATATGCTAGATCTTAGGTGACTGTTTATGTTTGCATGAGATGTTTCTATTATGCTGTTTTGTAATTTGCTTGTTTATCTTGGATAACTGTGGGAGCCTCTCTGAATGATCTTGCCTTCCAGTCCTGAAGCCCAAGGCTCTGACCAATCACTACATTTTGTGGGACTCGGGCATTGTCCCAACTTGGATAGCAAGGCATGGCTTCAGGTGTAGGTATCACCCACAGGGGTTGAGCTATACTCACCTACTCCTTTGTAATCCTACCCCTTGCCTCATTGGAATGGCTTCTCCCCAATAAAAGGGTTCAGCATGTGCTCCTTTCTTTCTCTTTCTACAGACCCCTAAGGTCAGAGGAACCAACATAGGACCCAAAGTATAAGGTATTTCTCTGTCTCTGTGTGGTTATTTTGTGCCAGCCCAGTTCACCTGAAGTGACCTTAAGTGTTTAGTCATGGAACACGACAGATAACTTTCCATATGAGCCTGTATAGTTTTAACACATTCTCCAATTAAAAAAAAAAAAGCATTTTAGTGGACAAATACAGTCATAAACAGGCTAATTTTAAACCTACAGGTCAATGAATTTTCATATATGTATGCACCCATAATGTGTTTTCCCAACAGATGAAAATTTAATAATAATGATGATAATAATAGCTAATGCACCAGGCACTACTTTCAGTGCTTTTCACAAAGCAGTTCTTTTAAAAGGAACATTCTCTCCACCTCAAAGATAACAGAGCTGGACATTAAAGTGGTGGAAACTGTATTCAATAACTACTGGCAGTAAGGGAAAGAGATGGTTTCATTCTAATTTGTGCAGAGGTGACAAAGCATAATGTGTGTTTGTAGGGAAGGAATGGGTTCCAGTGAAACATTACAAAGGGGCACCGTAGTCACAGTGATTCAGCCATCTGTGTTTGCTTGCAATTATGGAAGTTAGAGACTTCTTTTTTTGGGGGGTGGGAAGTGCTGGGGATTGAACTCAGGGTACTCAACCTGAGTCACATCCCCAGCCCTATTTTGTATTTTATGTAGAGAGGGTGTCACTGAGTTGCTTAGCGCCTTGCTGTTTGCTGAGGCTGGCTTTGAACTTGTGATCCTCCTGCCTCAGTCTCCCAAGCCTCTGGGATTACAGGTATGTGCCACCATGCCTGGCAAAGTGATATAAGGAATGGCTTTCAGGTCCTTGAGAAAGACACTCTTGTGTTGTAGAGACACATATGCATCTCAAAGAGACAGAAGGATTCTTATTTGTAAGGCATTTTTGGTAAATGCTCTGAGGTCAAGGGCCTATCATTTTCTGATTTGGCTCATTTTCTGTTGCTACGACAGCATATCACAGACTGGGTAATTTGTGAAGACTAGAAGATTCTTTAGCTCACAGGTCTGGAAGCTGGATATCCCAGGGCATGGTGCCAACATCTGTGAGCCTGTGGTAAAGGCCTCCAGCTGGATCATGCCCTGGTGTATGGGGAGACTAGCAAGCATGTCCTGCAAGAGAGCTCCTGCTCACACAGTAGCAGCCTGTTAATCCATGGGTGAATTTATCCAATCATGAGGAAGGACTCTGTCCCTGCTTCTCAACACTACTGCATTGGGGACCAGGTTCTCAACATGTGAAATTTGGGGGACACATTCAAACCATAGCATCTGGTCTTGGCTAAAACAGTTCTGGCATCATTAGTCTTTGTCAGGCAGGCGTTTTCCTGGGGGACAGAGATCATCTTGGGGGACTTGGACTAAGCTTGGTCATCTCTTAGTGCAGGGATGTGGAAGGAGTCAATGTGTCAGAGCTCTGCAGTTCTCAGGATGCACTTTTATTTATTTATTGATGGGCTTCTGTGGTTTCTATTGCTTTTTGGAAAATGGTGCTGTAGTTGGCCCTCTGGGCTCACTGCTGAAATCCCTAGAAGCAGGACTGCAGGCTCACAAGTATGTTATTCTTTCTTTCTTCCTTCCTTCCTTCCTTCCTTCCTTCCTTCCT